CCCAGATATCCCCAGATCGATTCTCCATTATAGCCTATCGGGCCCATTGACTATAATGGACCCCATAGGCTATAACTTAGCCAGGAAAAAAAAAATTATTATTTTTTGCACACCCCTATTGTGCTTTTCGTGGAGCTGTGGTGGCTCAAGTGGTTAAGACGCTGAACTGCAGGCTGTGGAAGGTCAGTAGTTCAGCAGTTCAAGACCCGGGTGCCGCAAGACAGGGTGAGCTCCTGTCTCTAGTTCCAGCTCCTGTCAACCTAGCAGTTCGAAAGCAAGAAATTGCAAGTAGATAAATAGGTACCACTTCGGTGGGAAGGTAACAGCGTTCCGTGCGCCTTGGTGTTTAGTCATGCCAGCCACATGACCACGGAAACGTCTTCGGACAGCGCTGGCTCTTCGGCTTTGAAACGGAGATGAGCACCGCAACCCTAGAGTCGGACTCGACTGGCTTTCGAGCAAGGGAACCTTTACCTTTTACCTTATTGTGCTTTTCAGTGTGATGTGTAAGCTGCCTTGAGTCACAGGGAAAAGTGGGAAATAAATATTTGAATAAATAAGTCGTTTGGGCAGGTTAATAACATTTAAGCAACTTCCTGTTCATTAGGCTAGGCCGAGTTCTGACAGTGATTGTTCCTCCTCTGTTCTATTTGACCTGTAATGCTGGTTGTCATATTTCACTAAAAAAAAAAACCCCACACACACACACACCAAAGAAGACTGCAAGAGTCCCCCCACCCCCCAAGAGCTGGTCTGTTTTCTAAGGGTCAGAGCAAGGTGACAGTCCACGCCCAGGTCTACAAATATGGTGGACTGGGGCGGGTATGTTCCCTCTAAGCTGTGGAGTCTTGTGAGCAAAAATTCTACTTTGTGAGCTACTGGCATTAAAGTTGTGAGCGAGTGATTTGGCTACTGCTTAACCTAGTTTGCTCTGGAGCCCTCCTTCCTGAGCCAAGACAAAAATGTGTGATCAGCCCCCCCCCCCCGTCCAAAACAGTCCAGTGGCACCTTTAAGACCAAGTTTTATTCAGGTGCAAGCTCTCCCTCCTCTGCAAGGACAGATTTACATGTCCCCCCCCCCAATAGCCAGCAATCCAAAACAGTCCAGTGGAGCCTGAGCGGTGGGTGTTGCCTTCTGACACACTTCCAGTGATGTCAGGGGGTGTGGCATATGCAAATAAGTTATGCTAATGAGTTATGCTAATGAGCTCCTGCACCTCTTTTTCTACGAAATGACCCCTGGGTATACCTGTTCTCCAGAGGCCAGGTCTACCAATATAGTGGAGAGGGGCAGGGAGACCTGTTCTCCGGAGGCCTGATCTACCCCTGTAGAGGACAACATTTGGTGTAATGAAATTTGACTTGATTCTTTTTCTCCCTTACAATGTTTAAATTATTCTTAAAACATTGTTTACATATAGTTTAAAAGAACTCATTCTGAGATTTTTTACAAGGTAATGGAAATAATCTTCTAAAAAATAATTTACTCGATAGTCAAATGTAGACTCGCTCACAACTTTAACACTACTGGAGTTTTTTCCTCTCACGAGGTAGAATTTCTGCTCACCACCAATGCTCCCTCTAAGCTGTGGAGTCTTGTGGGCACAAATTCTACTTTTGTGAGCTACCGGCATGAAAGCTGTGAGCGAGCCATTTGGCTGCTGCATAAATTAGTTTGCTCGGGAGCCCTCCTTCCTGAGCGAAGGCAAAAACGTGTGAGCTGGAGGCTAAAAAAATGTGAGCTAGCTCACATTTTTTTAGCCTCCAGCTCACACGTTTTTGCCTTCGCTCAGGAAGGAGGGCTCCCGAGCAAACTAATTTATGCAGCAGCCAAATGGCTCGCTCACAGCTTTCATGCCGGTAGCTCACAAAAGTAGAATTTGTGCCCACAAGACTCCACAGCTTAGAGGGAACATTGCTGGTGTGGCGACACGTTCGACGACTAGGGTTGTTAGGTCCCTCCTGGGAACCAGTGGGGAACGGGGGGGGACTTACCAGGAGCAGCAGAAAGGCCCAGCCGACCTACAACGATGTGTCCACGTCACTGCCCATGTGACCTGGAAGTGATGTCATCACATCGGGGCAATGCTCTGGTATTTGGGCCAAAAAAAAAAATGTGGCTTCTACAATTGAGTTTTTGCCCAAATACCAGAGCATCGCCTCAACGTCCCGGACATGACAACATCACTGCATATAAGAACATAAGAGAAGCCACTGTTGCCCCCCCCCCCCAGAACCAAGAATACAGAGCATCACTTGTCCCAGATATAAGAACATAAGAGAAGCCACTGTTGCCCCCCCCCCCCAGAACCAAGAATACAGAGCATCACTTGTCCCAGATATAAGAACATAAGAGAAGCCACTGTTGCCCCCCCCCCCCAGAACCAAGAATACAGAGCATCACTTGTCCCAGATATAAGAACATAAGAGAAGCCACTGTTGCCCCCCCCCCCCAGAACCAAGAATACAGAGCATCACTTGTCCCAGATATAAGAACATAAGAGAAGCCACTGTTGCCCCCCCCCCCCAGAACCAAGAATACAGAGCATCACTTGTCCCAGATATAAGAACATAAGAGAAGCCACTGTTGCCCCCCCCCCCCAGAACCAAGAATACAGAGCATCACTTGTCCCAGATATAAGAACATAAGAGAAGCCACTGTTGCCCCCCCCCCCCAGAACCAAGAATACAGAGCATCACTTGTCCCAGATA